CCCCAAAACCCCAAAACCCCAAAACCCCAAAACCCCACTATAAAATTTCAAAACTGAAATGGTGCCAATATTATATTTTTTCTTAAGGTTCATTATTTTTGGGAGGTGGGTCTTTTCCCCAGCCAACATCTTCCTTCTCTTCTTCGAGCAGACCTATTTTGGAAGCAACGCTCTCTTTCTAAAAACTATTATGATGCAAATACTGCTATGGATTCAGGGTGCTTAATGCTTTCTTCCTCGCTAGCTTTGACTCCAAAAATTATTATGTTCGCTATGCTGTTTAGGCTTATCTTTACCATCCTGTTCCAGTTCATGTTCCTCCACTGTCTCCAGATTGCTAATCAGCTCTTGCACTCTTCGGTCAAATTCTTTCGATGGTTCTTCAGTTTTGCTCGGATACTCAGCTACAGGTTACTTGGAGCCTACCTGGACTCATCACCTGAGGCTCAGACTGGAAGTTGACATCGCTGCTGGCGTCGAAGCCCATCAACATCAGTTGGTGATCTTTGAGGATCATTCGCATCAGAGTCTTGAGCTGGCGGATCGAACACAGAATTGAGGGCAGGTCGCACTCATCGCTGTGGATGAAGAGAGAGCTTACGAGAATCTGTCACTGAGGAGAGCGAATTGACGACTTGAGTTATTTTTAATGAAAGGTAGACATGATTTTGTGAGATCCTTTGGTTTGAGATTTCTATATTCGACTTCAGTCGGATGAATTCTTTATATTTACATGCTAAGATTCTTTAAAATAACTTCATTGCTTTGAATACACTAACTTCATTTTACCTTTTCTTTTTGAATATTTTTAATTTTATTTTCTCAATTAGGCTAAGTTCTTTTTGATTATTTTCCTTTAATTCGTCTGATAGTTCTTGATGTTCAGACCGAGATTCGTTGTTCACTTTGAAAGTAGAATCTTTATTGCTACCTTCACTTTCAGATTCCTTCTTTGGAGAAACTTTATTATCAAACTTTTTGTTAATTGTGGAAGCTTCAGTTGAATAAAGGTTTTGGAACATATAATATTCGTATAACTTGTTTGCAAAATAATTAACCAGAATTCCTCCAATGAGTAAAAGGATTTCAAAGAATCCTCCAAGCTGACCTGACAGATCCAAGAAGGTATATACTCGCCTCTCGAAAGAATCTACTATGGGATCTATCTGAAACTCAATCACTAAAAGAGACGGATCAGTTGAATTATCAGGATATTTCCAATCAAAGCTAGACTGTCCCATGGAGTAAAAAGACTTTTCATTGTCTTGCCCAAACGGAAAGATCGAATCTGAAAGTGAAACAATACTTCTCCTGATATAAATACTGATCAACTTTTTGACGCTCGGAACAAGTTCATAGAAAATTCTGTTATCGAGAGTTCCTTTAATGGGGTTCTCATAGTCATCAAAGTCAAAATACTTAGTGCCCAGATTGAGGAATACCTGGATGTTATTTAGCTTTATTTTTGATATCTGCATTGCTTTGACAGACAATAGAAGTGCCATTAACACATTCTTTAACATAAATCTTAATTGATTTCCTTTGATTCTTAAGGACACTTCCTCCAACAGTCAGAGTTGAGTTGGCAGGACAATAACTGCTGTTCTTATAAATATCCCTGAAGACATCCACATCTTTGTTGATCTTTGGGTAGTTCTCTCCACAGATGGAAGAATCTTTTGAATATTCATTGAAATCTGCTTTATTTTCTTGGAAATTGTATCCCACTTCAATCTGAGTAATAGAAACATTGAAGTATGTAGGATCTATAAAAGAGAGCGAAGTCTGTTGGTCAATTAAGGAAACTGCAAAGGAAAAATCATCCTGTGTCAAGTCATAATACTCTTCTATCGTCAGAGGGTCGTTTACAATACTATTCTTTGACTTGTTTGTATCTTCCCGCTTCACCATCTTGACAAATATCTGGATTCCGTACGCCACCAGAGCCATAATGATCAGAGTACTAACAATGCCTCCATACAAAGACTTGAAGTTCTGTTTGCCTTTAAAAGTCAGACTGATAGGCTGGGGAAACATATCAGTTTCCTTAACCGAATTACGAATCCATACTAGCACTTTCTTCATTTCTATTTTATAATACCTCTTTGGGGTTTTGGGGTTTTGGGGTTTTGGGGTTTTGGGG